TGTTGTTGTTGTTGATGTTGTTGTTGTAAACGTTGTTTAAGACGTTCGTGTGTTTGAGCAAGTCGTTTACGATTTGATGTTGCACGACTTGCTGCTTCAGCAATAATATTTGTTTGTTCTAATGGTGTTGTTGCAGAACAAAAACCAAGTGGTAACATTAATGGTTCACGTGGATATGCTTTAAATGGTCGTGTTGGTTTACCATTTTTATTTGTTAATAAAAATGGAAATGTTGATGTTGGTGATGATGATTGAAGATTTTGTAACATTGTTGAAAGAAGTTGTTGTTGATTTGGTAATGGTGATGATGGAGTTGAACAATCATTATTATCATCAGTTGAACGATGTGAAGAAAAATCTATTGGACTTTCAGATGTTGATGATGCTGATGATGTTGATGGTGGTGATATAGGTTCAAGTTTTTGTTGCTGTTGTTGTTGAACTTGAAATTGAGCTGCAGCTGCTGCAGCCATAACTGCTGCAACATTCTGTTGAGTAAGTAATTTCATTAATAATTCTTGTTGTTGTTGTGAAGATGTCATGGAAAGAGAATCAATTGGAATTGGTTGTTGTTGTTGTTTTTTGGAAATAATTGATGGTGATGAAGCAGCAAGTGGTTTTTGTAAACTTTCGTTTTCAACTTTTTCAATAGCTTGAGCAAGTAATTGAAGACGATAATGTTGTTGTTGTTGAATATTATCTGTATTAGGACTTGTAGATAAATCTTCGTTTGTCACTGGACCAACCTGATATGAAAAGAAAATAAAAAAAAAAACGATAACTAGAGAATTAGAACTTTATTTTCTTCTGTATTTTTATATTCATGACATATATATGTTGTGATGATGAGCTATTAAATCATTTGCTTGAATTTTGTTTTTTTTATTATTATTTTTTACTTAACTCTATATTTTTTTTTTATTTTTAGAATTCTATAATTAAATATCAAAAAGGTTTTGTTTTATTATAATGAGATAAATATAGTATATTTATGATTTTTTTATCCTAAGTATAAAAGTACATATTATACAGATTAGAAAAGAATTTTTTTTTTTTTTAGATTATTTCTTAAGATTTTCATATTCTGATGCAATCGATATATAATTAGATCATGATGACATTGAAAACTTACCATTCTCTTTCTATGAATATGTTGTTCTTTATTATTATATTCACCGGGAATAGATAAAATGTTTCTTAGAATAGTTGTTGTTGCTGTTCAATCAATGATGAAGCAACAACAACACTATCAATCTAGAAAAATGTCCTTGTGAGCACTGAATATAAATGAAAGCGAATAATATGTTTTTAGTAGCGCTCGATGACGAAGGGCGATTGCGTGATTTGATTCGTCTTTCTTTCCTTCTGTTTTTTTTGTCCTTTCACTTCTTTGCTTCTCGATTTCTCTTGTTCTTTTTTTTCTCTTATTTTTTTCTTACGTCGTTTTTTTTCACTTGTATATGTCTGATTGCATTAGATTACTATTAGTCGCTGTCATAGACAGCAACAGCCGGTTTTTTTAATGTTTTGTTGTTTTTTCTCTTGCGTAAGTTAAGAACGACACATCAAAAAAAGAAGAGAACACACGTTCTATAGTATTGCTATTACCACCGAGAGAAAAAAACAAGATAACCGGTCTCGGTTTATTACCAATTCCTTTTGTCATTCATGTCGTGGTTACAAAAAAAATTTGTGTTCTGTTCTTGATGTTATATGCGTTTTCTGTCGAATAGAATTATGTAATTTTCTTTTTCTTTCTTTCTTTCTTTCATTTCTTATATTTTTTCTCTTTTATGGTTTCCCTCGTTTTATTTGTCTATTCCTTTTTTTTTTATGTAATATTACGTTATATAGTCGCGTCTATGCTGACTTGTTTTTTTTTTCGGCTTTCTTCGTTCTTTTTTTTCTCTTCATCTCATACAATCACCATAAATATATATAAATATATAAATATAAAGGATTCTTGGTGATGGCAATAATACGACAACAACAACCCTAGCAGTTCTCAACAAAACACTTTTTCCTTTTTTTATTTTTTATTTTCTATATTTCTGCCTCGATTTCTTTATATGATGTAAATATCGTTCTCTTTTTTTTAAAAACTTACTTCATCAATAATATTCATCATATGAAAAAGAAAAATTTTGTATTGATTAAAAATTTGTTGCTGTTGTTTTGTATCGTTATTATAATATATATATATATATATAAATGCAAATAGCTAATTCTAACAAGAAGTTCGATGACCTTGAATACGATAGTATACTGACCGATGGTACAATATGAATCTATTTTTTTTTCTCTTTCTCTCTTCTTTCATAAATCACCCTCGCTTTGGTCAAGGTCAACAGGATGCGATGTAATCTTGCAAGCACATTCACTCGTTTTCTTTTGCTTGTGTTCGATAAGTTTGTACATAATGTGTACGTGAGCGGTCACCATCCATCGGTCACAAGCAAGGTCATGTTTTTGCGCGAATATCAACGATGTGTTTCATAAGGGTATAAAACACACAAGACTGATATATTTTTCTTTTCCTTTTCTTTCTTTACGAGTTCATTCGTTCAGTAATATTGAAGTAACAATTGAACTCAACATTGAACAAATGTCATTATTGCAAACAACTTTAAGTATAAGAACACCTGCTCTTACTATGAATTTAAAGGATGATAAGAAGAAAAAAGACAAAGATTATTGAAGGATGGAAGTCAATGATATTAAATAATATATTAATAAAAAAGAAAAAGGAAATGAGAGCTTTTTTTAGTTTTACTTAAGATTGATGTTCTCTGTTTATAATAATATGTCATTCTATCATGTTTGCAAATCAATATTGTATGTAGTATTGATTCGTAATGTCGGAAATTGCGTTTCATATATTGCTTTTGACAGATAAAAAAAGACTTAGATGTTGTTTTACGTTATTTTATGTAGATACTTGATTATATTTACGGCTCGATAGAATTAGTATGCTTGATTATCAATGACTTAAACGGAATTATGCATGAGTTAAAATCTTTTCGAGATGGTATATTGAAAAAATGTTGTTATCTTATATTATTTTTCACGTATTTTGTTTTTCAAAGTGTAAATGAAGTTGCTAAAAGGCGACAATATTAGTCTATATTAATGAAAAAAAAAAAGAAAAGAACGTTTTTTTTTCCGCTTTATTTTTGATCTCATCTAGACATATGAAGTTTTGAGGCATCATTTGACAAAAAATGTTATTATTATCGAAGAACTTATTAATTCAATGCCGTAGGAGATGATCAATAGGTCATAGTGATCAATTTTCAAATAAATATTATACTTATAATGATGAAAAGATCGATTTTCACAATTATTGAGAGCAATCATTTGATTTTTTCAATGACACATAACTTTTGCTGTGTTCGTATTTTCTTTATTAAAAAAAAAGCACTTTTCTTCATATCTAACTGGTCAGCAGGTATAAATTTCTGTCAGACTTTCCAACTCCAAATTTGACTCCTTTTTTCAAAGAAACTTTATATATCTTCTAACTAATAACAATGAGAAAACTTTTACTCTACGAGTGTTTTGAAAGTATAGTTTAGACAAAAAAATAAAAACAAAATATTTTCTTCAATTTAATGATGCTTTTCATCTATACGTCGGGTAAGTAAAGTGTCAGTGACATTAATTAGTATGAATGTTATTGAAGTGAAACTTTGTTAATAATGAATTAAAATTAACAGTGTCAACTACAAATAGACATCTATCTAACTCTTTTAAATTGATCAACGAATAATTTACTCTTAAGAGTGTCTTGTTAACAAATGATAGTCTTCATAAAACTAGATTATCGGCCAATATATATCTTACTCATTTGGGTCAATAAGAAATTTATTTGATCTCTCTCATTTTGCTTTAACAAACATTAGAATTGTCTAATCTGGTTTAATTCCTTATCAATATTATAATAAACTGTTTACAATGTTATTTTAAGACCTGATGCGATCATTAAGTTTCATTGTGTAGAAACTTTTGACACTATCAACAGTAGTAAAGCGTATGATTACTAGACATTGCTATCGATTTCAATTTTTTTCAATAGTTTTTAGTTCTATTATGAATTTCTATGATCTTCTAATGTTCTTATGGTATTAGTTATAAGATGGCTAGATAAACGACAACTATTTTTAAAAGAATAATAAGAGAGTATCTCTAAGATATAATTCTTTAAATAATACTTGATTAGAGGAGTATTATTCTATCTATCATAGGCACTCATGATGACAAAACCGAATAGATATTCCCGTTTTTTTTTTAGGAAAAAGCATCTAAATTCCTTATGTTAGTTACAATGAATCGGAGATGCTAACAATACTGTTTGTAGTAGCCAAAATAATTTGTACATTATGATCAAAACGTATTTTTACATTGCATTCTTCTAACAAAAACTAAATTTAACATTTTAAAACTATGTATTCACAAGCTCAATTTTGTTTTGCTTATTCTTGATGAAAATAGTAACAGATAATGTTCTATATTTGTCAGTATAAGTAGTAGAATTTCTATCATTAGTTACTAAAACTATATTGTGATTATTACTATTTACTATTTGAAAGAAGAATATAATTTACTCAATATGCTGCATAACTAAAATTTGACTTTGTATCTATAGATAAAAATGAATACAGTAAAATAACATCTGTTGCATATTAGTATTGAATGTTAATTGAGAATACTTCGTCAAATCTATTGTCGAGTATAAATAACATGTGTGTACATTCATCATTAAATTTCGACGTAATACTCAACAAATAATATCCTCGATTTATCATTAATTTAGTCATAGAATATTACTTTCATCTTAGAAAAGAAAACATCAACAAATGATAAAAAAATTCATTTCAAAAAATTTTAACAATCATATTTATTGAAGACTTCAGCACAATTGTATATAATTGTCAAAGTGATATATTAACACTTATAAATTTTTTTTTTTACAATTTACAACTTTATATAACGATTACTTTTTATTGTATTTAGAAAGAAAACTATTAGAAAGCTGCATGTTTTCTATTCAAAACAAATGTTCGTTTAACACAAAAAGAACATCGTCAAATAATTACAAATAATAGTCATAAATTACTTGTTCGATAAGTAAAAAAATCTCTTTCAAGGGAAACTCGCCAGGTGTCAAAGTACTTTTCGATCGAGATGGTGTTTGTTTGATGAATACTAGTGAGTAATAGAAAAGTCTAGAATAGTTTGCTTTTCCAGGTTTTTGTTCTCCAGATATCAAAATTTTACCGGATTTTCTAACAAAAATCCCGTGACTTCCCGAAGATCCCGTAAGAAATTGACTTTCGAGTTTCATTTCTGATATATGTAAATACTCGAAAGTCTTTCATGTGTAAAAACAAATTTTGTTTATATATTTACATCTTCAGAAAGGAAATAATAGAAAAACTAAACGTTATACAATCAGCGAATCTCATTAAGAACTTTGTTCGTGCAAAGTTTGAAGTTGAAACTCGATTTTTCTCAGGTAATTACAACTTTTTGTTGAAAAATCTAGTAAAATTTCGGTATGTCTAGAACGAAATTTAATACTTGGAAAGATTTCCTCGTGAGTATATGAATGTATCGTATTTTCGAATGAACAAAAGAAAAACAAACATAACATGTAAAAAACATAGTTTCTCTGAATTTCATATAAATAGGAAACATTTTTTGTTTGTAGGTATATCAAATATAATTATAGGTTGAAAAAATATCAATGATGGATTTTTGTTTACTTAATATAAATTTTTTTTGACATATTTATAGCATAATATAATATGATTTATTTCACATAAATAATTTTAATATATTCTTAATAAAATAAAATGTAGTGTATTTCTGTTCAAAATGTTTGATTACACTATATTTTACTCATTTTATAGTATATAGTTCATGTATGTATAAAAAAATGAACAGGATATTGTCTGTTTGTTGTTTGTGAGAGTTGATTTATTCCTACTTTACTAAGCAGAAATAAATAAACATTCATTATTAAAAACTAAAGATCAATAAGTAGTGATATAACAGGGATAGAGCCAGGGAGACCTTAGACCTATCACTCGTACTTTCACCTTATCAACCGAGTTTTTAAATTTAAATAAATGGAAATCATTCTAAATACCTTAATTCGAATCTTGAATTATTGAAAGTGCTAATATGTATTTTATGTTGTCCGGTATGATTCATATCTTCTGAGGAAGACAAAAGATAAATTGAAATATTTTATAAATATATGAATAAAATTTATGAAACCTAGTACATCAAAACAAAGAGCCATCACATTTTTTTTCCATCATCCACATCCAAAAAACAAAAGTTAACTGATCAACCCACGGAAATTTTTTTTTCGAAAAACCGCTCGAAATCGCGGTTTTTTTCATTCGACCCCGGGTTTACTAGAGGAAACCGTGGTTTTGATTGGATAATCGTGGTTCTAAATACCGTGGTATTCAATGGTCTAAAAAATTGCAGTATGGTAATTGGAAACCGCGGCATTTCATAATGCGATATTCAACGGTTTTTAAAACTGCGGTATATCCATCACTAACCACGGTGGTAAATACCACAGTATTGAGCGGTTTCAAAAACCACGGTATAGTCATGAGTGATCGCGATGATAAATACTACGATATTGAGCGGTTTCTAAAGCTGCGGTATAGTCATCAGTAATTGCCGTGATAAATATCACAGTATTCAGTGGTTTATAATACCGCGGTATTCAATGGTTTTAGAAACTGCGGTATGCCGCCAAGTAATCGAGTTATTTATTACTACGTTTTTCAGCAGAAAAACTGCGATGTGTCTGGTGCTTATACCATCGTGATGGAATGTTTAAGGATGAAGAGGATGTTGTGCCCCGCTATTTTCATGAAATTTTTGAATAAGTTTTCTTATTCTATCTCTCACCACAAAATAACTTTGTGGTAATGGAACTTCTAAAAGTTCAATACAATGCGCCTAGAAGGGTGACTCACCTGAACGTTTTCAGAAGTTCAGATGAGTCTGGGCATACCTGACTCAGGTGTGGCCACGGCAATCGTGGCATATCGCGGTCCAAAAAAACCGCGGTTTTCAGTGGTTTCAGACAAACCGCAAAAGTCAGATCTTTTATGTGATTTTGAATATCGGTGAAAGTCGCGGTGTAAAATTACCGCGATTTCTGGTGGTTTTCAAAAACCACATAAAAGGTCTGACTATCGCGGTTTCGAAAAACCGTTGATTATCGCAGTTTGTGAAATCACGGTTTCTCGCAGTTTTCATTCAAAATATTTTCTATGGGAAGAGCCACATCCTTCACCCATATCCACAGATACAACAACATGATTTGTTTTATCTGAAACATTAAATTCTGTTCTCTTAAGTTGATTCAATTAGCAATGCGCATGCTAATACAACTGCTACACACGATTAATCCATATCAATATTATTAACATCGAATATATCATTATTATCATCAACGTCGTCAGCATCAATATAATCAACACCATCAATATCATCATTCTTAATACCTATTGATACTAGTCGTCCATTAGCTGATCCATCACCACAACCTTTTTCATCAGTACCAAAGTCCTCAACATGCTTAACATCAAACATCATTTATACTTATTGATATTAGTTATTCATCAGTTGATCTATTTGAGCAATCTTTGATTGTTGATAATTGAACATGATATAGATATAAATTTTGTGCAATTTAATGATGATTTTTCACCAACTCACAAAAATAGTCGGGTTGTGCTCAAATAAATAATTGTCTTTTTTTGTTTTCATAATATTTTGTTCTGATATATGAACTAGCTGATTATATATCTAGTTTAGTCAGTGTGCATACATAATCTTTGAGTTTCGATACCATGTTAGCTTTAGAATTTAGCAATATCAATTCGACGTATATAAAAATGGTTAATGTTTCGAGGAGGTAAAAAATCTAAATTTCTGGTTATGCTTCTATCAATAAGGTCTTTATCATCAGAAAAATAGAGATAAGCGAAATTTTTTATTTTTCAGAATTGAAAAATTTATTTAAGACATCTGCCGTTTTTTTTTTAATATACATTTTCTTCACTTCGATTATTTATTTTAAAGAACTACTAATGATAAACTAATCTTCCTCTAAAATATTACTATTTGAAAGTTTTTCATTACTTTTATTCCAATTCCAAAATATGATTTAATTTGTTTTTTTTTTCAAATATAAGCTGATTAATGATGCTATTGATTTATATAAAATTTCTTTTATTCGCAAAACATTACATCATCGCCACTACTAAAAATAAATATAAGACTGAATCATCAACATATCGTCGAGAGAAAATTTAGATACACACATATTTTTAAAATGATCCTTTCATCTTGTATTTGCAAAAGAATTAGTGGTAAGTGTGAATTTTTTTTGTTCCGGTCAACGATCATCATCAACATGCATAGAAGAGACAAAAATTGAACAAAGCAGCACGTGAACAATCATATTAAAATAAGAAAAATTTATCTATTGAGTTCGAGAGACAAAGAAACAAGTTGAAAAGAAAATTTGGATTTTATTAAGATGATAAGATAAGGTAAAAGTGTAATATAACATAAGAACTTCATAAATTTTACCATTGTGAATAATCAAGATCAGAGGTGAGTTATTCATTCCAATTTGAAAAATTCTACGGCATTGACGAATTCAGTTGAGCTGAATTAACAATTCTCAATCATGTCCGTCGATTTTTATTCCTAATATCGATTGTCTATTCCAGTAAAAGAGTCCCTTTATGATGAGTAAGATATTTCACTGCTTTGATGATAAGCGGATGTGGATTTTGATCTTCTCTTCACATGCAGTCACGCACATCCCATACTCACGTTACAGTCTAGCACTACTCAATTTTGAACAATATATGAGTATTATAATTCTATCAAAAAAATGTTAGGAACTTACTGAGCAGACAAGAACTTAAGTAAGTTGCAGATAATAAATCATAGTTAATATGCGCAGATAACAAAGGCTATTGAAATTGATCGGTTCATTTTTGAGATAGTTCACGATTTATGATCAAAGCTGTTCGTTAGAATTATATTCATAATTATCGTTTACCTTGGAATCGGGGCGAAATGTAGGATTAGCAATATCCGCTATGTCATCTGTTACTTTTGTTCTAGTTAGCATCTCTAGATGATATTGATCTGGAATATTTTTGGTTTTTGCCAAAATATCATTCAAATGAGCACAGCATCATATTGGTTAACCCTCTCCTTTGGTCCTCCCCCTTCAAATCTTCACGCGGCGAATTGTTTGCTGTCAACGCTGATAAGTTACAAGACTTCAGTTGATAATTGTCGGCAATCGATGCAACTTTTTCAATCTATTGACACGAAAAGAGAAGTGACGAGGCAAGAATAGCTAAACATACCGATGACTGAGCAGAAACTTGTCGATACTCTCGAATGTAATTAAATATGAAAAAGAGAGGAATCGAAATAATACAACAAACAAAAATCATCCAGCTCAATATGACACTCCATTTTGGATGGACATATTCTTGGAATTCATCACTGGCCTTGTCTGTCAGTGTACTTGTATTCACCAAATTGAGAATGGTAATTATCTTAATAAATAACCAATGAGATCAAGAAAGATAAACTTTTCTGGAAGGATCAATTTTGAAATAGTCTCATTATGCATTAGTTTTTTGAATGATTCTTCCCTCTATTCGGTCAACAATTATCTTTCAAATCCTATCGTGATCTAGTAAATCTGAAATTATCTTTGATAATTGAGAAAAAGAGAGAACTGAAATCAATGAATTGTTAGAAATTAACGTACGATGCAAAAGTAATGGCACAAAATATTGATCCATATTTTTCTTCGATAGAACGGGACTGAAACAATACTATTTTTACCAAAAGATAGAGCTTATTCTGCTCTTCCAGATTGTATATAATTTATTGTTTCTACCATGTCTGTAAATGAAACAACATGAGAAAAAAGACGTATACCATCGAAAACATTTTGCACTTTTTGTGAAATTTAGCAAGATGACACAAAATGTTGAACATCGTAAAAATAAAGAAAAAATAAATCATCGTCATGCAATCATGTTGCACAGTTGCATTTAATTCGATATCTAATACAATGTCCATATGGTAGTTGTTTTTATGGAACGCATCACATAGAAATCTATTCAACAATACAAGTATAAAAATCGGTAGCTGATGAATCGAAACACCTTGTCCAGAATTCATGTTGATCAAATCGCAATCGAGAAGCGTCGTGAACTCGATAATACAAATACATCACTCTTGTTATTAGAACTTAGTTCTTTGGAAAGCCAAACGAAGTTTCCATTGGAAAGACAATCACCAGACGCTATTTGACCTTTAACTGCCACACTTTGACGAGCTGTTTCTGCCGCAGATAACTCTTTTGTTTATAAGATCTCACTTTTTTTCGTACGAAACATTATAATATTTTAGCGTCGAATATTGTTGAAAGTATTGCACCAAGACAAGATAAAAGTCTTCTCCAGCTATCACACTTGGATGGCATTAGCGATAGGTGATTATCGAATACTTCAACATCATCTAATACATGTTTTGATGAACAATGCCTTGGATATCTAATCAAAATGTATGAATCATATGAAGAAAAAAACTTATGTGAGTGACGAATGGTTATGGATTAATGATTGACCATACTAAACAAAGAAATTTTGACATTCAATAAAGGAAACGACAATGCAGAATATCTATAGATAATCCATCACGCCCAATGATTCATCGACAGTTCCGCGCACGGTACCACCGCGCGAGACACTTACGCGCTGAACGAAGTTTTCTGTTTTTCCCTATGTTAAGTTAATACATCTTCTAAAATTTTATTAATTGTTCTGTTGGTGCGGTTGCAGAGTTTTGGCGTGAGTATTGGAATAGAACGAAGGCAACTGGAATCCTTATACCAACAACCACATTCCTATATTCAAATCCACTCCAAAAATTACATCCGAATCTCGAATCCCGAATCCATATAGAAGCACACACCCACACCAACACACACTCTGCGCTGGAGCCCAGACTCACAGATCTATTAATGGAATTTCAGAAGATGCATTAACCTAACACGGAGAAAACAGAAAATTTCATTTAGTACGTAAGTGTCGCGCGTAGAAATATTGCTGCGCTGAAGTGTCGTGAGCAGAACTGTCTTGCATGAAAATATTGGCGCGGAGATGCCATGCTACGCACCCAACATTACTATCACAATAAAGACTATTCAATAAGTAAAAAAATGGCAAAAAAAATAATGTAATTTCCATCATTTTTATGCAATCTTTTTCATGAAAAACGATGAAACGTCGTAAAAAAATGCCATTTTTAATGATGAAGCGGACATTATTTTTGATGCTTTTTAAAATTCAATGATGAAAATTAGCATTTTGAGCCATGAAAATGATTAATTTTGTATGAAATACATGCCATGAAACTTACTAAAATGCACAAAAATCTCGTTATGAAAAAGATGAAAATTAGAAATAACTTTTATTCCATTTGATTTAACAACTCACTTGAATTGGTTGTTGTACCCAGACTTTTATAAGGTACCCGCAAAGCAAAATTCAAGTAAAAATTTTTGTTTTGGCTTTTTTACACATCATCTGATAGAACTCAAGCGGCTGATCACGAATATCAGGTCCTTATTTTCAGTGAAGGCTTTCTTCTGGTTCAAAAAATCCGAAATATTCGAAAACTGCCATTTTCATCAAAAACAGGTGTTTACCTCAGAAATGTGCAAAATTTTTCATTTCTTTCTTTTTTTGAGCGTCTGAAGATTTTTTTGCAGATTCAGCCGCAAAAACTGAGTCTAGAAAAGTTGTTAAATAGATTCCAGACATAAAACTCTACTGGTGATGGTGCTTCGAATTGGACCGAGTATGATGTGTATAGGTCGATTTTGTAAACCTATCTAGTTTTTCCACATAAACGATAGAAACGATTATTTTATCTCATTCTGTTCACCATACCACTGGCTACAAAATTACACGTCGTTTTTTTTTATTTTCTTTCCTTCGTCGAGAAAAGACGTTTTTACTGTATGTCACTGTATGATACTGGAAATGGGGAGGTCATTTTTGTATAACGTGTTTGTTTCTCATCCAAACTAAGTAAAAATTTTCTCACATCGATAAAAACTGATGGAGAATCCAATGCATATAGTTTCGAGGTTTGTATGAGGTCTTTAGAGGGTCTCTGGAAAATCTTTTCCTATAAATTATACTATAAGTAAAATTGCTGATACTATGTGCATTTTTTGAAGATAATTCCATTTGAATTTGAACTAAGTTAGTTTGGTATGCCTAAGGGAAATGAAAGAAGCAGCCAATTACATAATGCAAGAACTCGTTGTCAGTCAACAACAAAGATCTCGGATGCAAGTGATCCATCAAACGTAGATAATTCGGATATAAACGACTCGTCAAACATAGATATTTCAGACGCAAACGAGTCGTCAAACGTAGATGTTTTAGGCGCAAATAACCCGTCAGACGTTGATGATTCGGATGAGAGCGAACTGATAGATGATGAATATCACATGTGTACTGATGATAAAGACTTAAACTTTAGTGAAAAGCTTTTGGTAAGCGACATTGCCGATTTTGCTGAAATATGTAAGTCCAAATGTGGCTCGAAATATCTAAGTACTTTGCTGACGTATTAAAACTGTTTTTCAGTCAACTCTGCAAACAATCAGTCCAATCCTATCGCAGAATATCAAATAAAAACATAAACCAACATTAATAAACGCATTTCTAAAATATCTTGGTACATTTATCCTGCATATTCTTATTCAAATTATATAGCCAAGCATGAATGAAATGACTAGTCTGTTCATTAAATATCATTATCAATTAATATCAAAAAAATATATGTTTTCAGGAAAAGATTTTCCAGAGATCCTCTAAAGACCTCATACAAACCTCGAAACTATATGCATTGGATTCTCCATCAGTTTTTATCGATGTGAGAAAATTTTTACTTAGTTTGGATGAGAAACAAACACGTTATACAAAAATGACCTCCCCATTTCCAGTATCATACAGTGACATACAGTAAAAACGTCTTTTCTCGACGAAGGAAAGAAAATTAAGAAAAACGACGTGTAATTTTGTAGCCAGTGGTATGGTGAACAGAATGAGATAAAATAATCGTTTCTATCGTTTATGTGGAAAAACTAGATAGGTTTACAAAATCGATCTATACACATCATACTCGGTCCAATTCGAAGCACCATCACCAGTAGAGTTTTATGTCTGGAATCTATTTAACAACTTTTCTAGACTCAGTTTTTGCGGCTGAATCTGCAAAAAACAAATCTTCAGACGCTCAAAAAAAGAAAGAAATGAAAAATTTTGCACATTTCTGAGGTAAACACCTGTTTTTGATGAAAATAGCAGTTTTCGAATATTTCGGATTTTTCAACCAAAAGAAAGCCTTCACTAAAAATAAGGACCTGATATTCGTGATCAGCCGCTTGAGTTCTATCAGATGATGTGTAAAAAAGCTAAAACAAAAAATTTACTTGAAGTTTGAATTGCTTGCACCTTACAAGTCTGGGCTGGTTGCCCTTCGAGCGGCTCTGCGATGAACTTTTCAAAAGTTTATTTTACTCTACCGTCATATTATGTGGCAAAGTACATAAGGTATTAAAAATACTTCTCAAACTTAAGAAAAAGCAGGGCATGACACAGTCTCTGTCCTAACACGTTTCATTTATTAAGATAGTGGCATGTGTAATGAAAAATTTGCAGATAAAGTTCAAATTAATCATTTTCATCATTTATTTTCAAAAAAAATTATGACACATGATGTTTTTCATATGAAAGTCGTTCATTAAAACTCTTTTTCTTTGAAAAAGTTTTAAAACGTTTTAATCATTTGAAATACGATTGAAACTCAATGTTTCACATGTAAAAGTAATGAAATCAATCTACTGATATATATTTTGCAAAATAATCAAAATCATGTGACGAAAGCGATGCAAAAGTAATGAAAGTCATGCAATGATTTTAGTTATCCCCGAAAAATCAAAATTATGTAATGAAAAACGGTACAAAATTAGTAAAACTAATGTGATAATTTCAGTTTCTCAAAAGTATGAGAATTATACAATGAAAATGGTGTAGAAAAACTGAAAACTAGTGTAATGATTCTAGTCTTTGAAAATAACTAAAGTCACGTAATGAAAATGATGCTAAACTAATGAAACCAATGTCGTTCGTTTAATTTTTTGCAAGACAACTGGATTCATGCAATGAGAATGATGTCAACATAACGAAAATAATCCAGTCCCCTTGATGTTTCTGAAATAACTAAAAACATGAAATTTTTCATACGTAAATTTCGAAATTAACCATTTAAACGAAATTTTTGCATGAAAATTTAAAAATATAACCATTTAAATGAAAGTTTTTTTAATTTTTAGGTTCGCACGGTATCATGCACTTCATGCAAAGCTTTCTGATCACATGTTTTCAAATTTCATTCCAAAATTATAAGTAGATGAGCCTCTATTTTACTTCAAAAATGTTTTTATTTAAGAATTATTTAAAAACTATTTGAACTACAAAAAAAAAATATATACGAGCTCAAAACATGATTAAACAATATAAGCTTTAGAGTGCAGAATTAATTTTGTCAAAAGTAAATATAAAGTACATTAAATTGTTCTTTTTAAGAAATATTTTTTAGATTAGAAATAAATCGTTCAACGAGCTTTGATGATATTGATTCGATCAAGTTCGACTAAATCCGAAGTTCGATAAAAACTAAATGTGGCTTGACGAGCATTCACAAGTGTAAGAACACCAAAGCCGGGATCAGTAATAATACGACAAGAGTCGCTTGATCTCTTGAAAACATGGTCGTTGCCTTCGGGATTGCCAATAGCACCATTAGTGATATAGATGGGACCATTTGGATTGATATAGTCAGCTGTCTTCTTTCCACCTACAAAGATTGAAGACAAACAATTTTTTGTAGTTAATTATCAGATTGTTTACGACTACATCTAATCATTAAACAAACTTACATCTATTCTCATGAATAGTTTTCTATATGTAAAGCAACAAAATTATTAGTTTTTGGAACCTTTTGGTTTGTACTACTATTCTCTGCTACTACCTTCTTTTTTATGAATGTCTCTTTTATTCCTGCTTCGCGATGACTAAAAGCTTCGGAAAAAAAGTAATTATACATACCATTTGGACAAATGCGTTCATACCAGTGTACATGGCCAGCAAAGTAAATATCCACTTTGTATTTGATCAAAATAGCCTCAAAAGCTGCCTTACATTGGGGACAGTTGATGAATTTACCATCCGATAGACCTTCAATTGCTATGGATCCTTTCCATGGTCGATGACATTGAACAATGATCCACGGAGTGATAGAACGATTTACAGCAGCTAAATCATTTTTTAGCCAATTCACTTGAGTTTTAGTGTCAAGAAGATTACCAGAAGGAGCATTTGGAAAATCTGATTCGCATGAGAGTGAAACCACATGAACAAAACCATAATTAAATGAATACCATGCGTTCAAGTATCCACCGGACTGCTTACTAGGCATATTGAATCGATTACTGTAAGGAAATTGATTCCTATAATTCTTTGGACATGCATCTCTAAGAAATGGAATCTGCGTACAGTTTATCTCATGGTTACCAACAGCTGTCATATAGTAACGCTTACTGGTTATATTCATCATTGCCATTTGACAATAATCCATAGCCTGGTCGTAGGTTTTTCCAAGTACAAGTAGAGGAGTATCATCTGCATAACAAATATCACCATGATGCAAAACAAAATCAATCGATGGTAACATTTTCTGCAAAGCTATTACTGCTCGCTCAAAAAGACACACACCATTGATCAAAGATCCTAGTAGACCATCAACACCCATATCACCATAGGCAGCAATCTTCACTGGTTGACTTCGATCACCGAGAGCTGGTGGTGATGTAAAAGAGAAAATGTCTGACGCTAATCCATTGTTCATTGCAACAATTTGATAGTAGTAAAGGGTACGTGGTTGAAGATCTTGAAGTTCAACACCGTAGAACCAAGATGTTCTCGTAAAAATATTTTTTGTGTTATAGGTACTTGATTTTCCGTTGGTTGAATTGGAAGTGAGTGCTGCAGGCGAAAGACCATACTTGACCCTTGGAGTAGGATTTGGATTTTTAGTACTGAATGGGCAAGCATACGAATGCCAACCAACATTCACACTATTTTTACTAGCAATAGCCAAACGAATTTGATCTGGCTTTTGTTTTTGCAGACAAATACCGGCAATAGTTGCTTTTACAATTATGAATAGGTAAAAGAGGAGAAATGTATACATATCTATCGTTGATTAGAAAATAAATGACGCTATTACCGGGCGTTAACATCATTATAAGTTGAATATCGTAGGTGGGATGAAAGAAGTCACTCAAGCGTTACTAACATCATTGAAGGGAAAAATTTGACGATATTATAGTGCATTTGATAATCATGGATATAATATTGATTCATATGTGTATGATACAAAGATTCTCCCAATGAAAATTCGAAGTCGGTAGATGTCAATGTCTTACTGTATATCATCAATTGACATTTACCAAATGTTCATCAGCGACATTAGCTCAATACATTAAAACAAACGACGAAAAACATACGTGAAATGTAGTCATTGACAACATGAGACTAAGTATTCCTTATAGATTTGTCTTATATGAAATCTTTTTACAGAATTTCGACAAACTCAACTGTCGAAGTTCTGTAAGAAAAAATTATCGTTATTGAGTCGACTTCGATATTGGACAATGATAATTCATTCTTTACGATTGAAGGAGGTTGTAGACATCGTTCATGTAAAAGGACTCTCTTCGTTTTCTTTTTTGATTTGAAAATATTTGTATTTAATATTTCGATCAATGAAATTGATTTTCTTGATAAGATACAAACACTTATGATAAAATTATGAAGCACAAGGATGATTAACACAGTCCACGTAAATTGAAAGTGTACCCTTTGAGTTTTTGTGTTTTCATTGTCATAACTTGTTTGTTTTTAAACTTATTATATATAGGGAGAAAGCCCAGAACTTGCTGCATCTTTTGGTATATTTACTTTGAACATCAAATGCAGTTTAAAATGTAAAAAGTGTATTGGAAGAAAAAGGACATCTTTTTTTCTTTTGCAAAACTAGGTGTCAGTAGTGTTGTAATATTTTTTTATTTGGCACATATTTCGGCTTAGATAAATGACAAAGTGTTGAATTTTTTCAAAAGATTCGCTGTGAAAAGCTCTATAAAAGCTGTATGATTGAATTCCTTTTTACTTGTTTTAATGGTTTTTCTTGTATTCAAAATGAACAACTATTATAGCAGTGTCAATTCTGATCATACTGAAAATGTTGGAAGACCTTTTTGTTCTGCATATATCTCGACTTGAGAAAATGATGGAATATCGAATTTGCTTTTAAAAGATGCACCGTTGAAAGCTCTACAAAACTTGTATAGATCAAATCCTATAGCGAATCAGAAAAGTTCTCGAAAGATTTTCTATATGATGGTAAGTAATACTGCTACTTATAAGGTGTTCATTTTGAGTATAAAAAAAATTTCAGAACAGGTAAAACGGATTCAATCATACAGCTTTTGTAGAGCTTTTCACGACGCATCTTTTGAAAAAAATTCAACGCTTTATCATTTATCTAAGCCTAAATATGTGCCAAATAAAAAAATATTACAACATTGTGGACACCCAGTTTTGCAAAAGAAAAAAAATGTCCTTTTTCCTCCAATACACTTTTTACATTTTAAACTGCATTTGATGTTCAAAGTAAATATACCAAAAGATGCAGCAAGTTCTGGGCTTTCTCCCTATATATAATAAGTTTAAAAACAAACAAGTTATGACAATGAAAACACAAAAACTCAAAGGGTACACTTTCAATTTACGTGGACTGTGTTAATCATCCTTGTGCTTCATAATTTTATCATAAGTGTTTGTATCTTATCAAGAAAATCAATTTCATTGATCGAAATATTAAATACAAATATTTTCAAATCAAAAAAGAAAACGAAGAGAGTCCTTTTACATGAACGATGTCTACAACCTCCTTCAATCGTAAAGAATGAATTATCATTGTCCAATATCGAAGTCGACTCAATAACGATAATTTCTTCTGACAGAACTTCGACAGTTGAGTTTGTCGAAATTCTGTAAAAAGATTTCATATAAGACAAATCTATAAGGAATACTTAGTCTCATGTTGTCAATGACTACATTTCACGTATGTTTTTCGTCGTTTGTTTTAATGTATTGAGCTAATGTCGCTGATGAACATTTGGTAAATGTCAATTGATGATATACAGTAAGACATTGACATCTACCGACTTCGAATTTTCATTGCAATAGCCTTTGTATCATACACATATGAATCAATATTATATCCATGATTATCAAATGCACTATAATATCGTCAAATTTTTTCCTTCGATGACGCTAGTAACGCTTGAGCGATTTCTTTCATCCCACCTACGATATTCAACTTATAATGATGTTAACGCCCGGTAATAGCGTCATTTATTTTCTAATCAACGATAGATATGTATACATTTCTCCTCTTTCACCTATTCATAATTGTAAAAGCAACTATTGCCGGTATTTGTCTGCAAAAACAAAAGCCAGATCAAATTCGTTTGGCTATTGCTAGTAAAAATAGTGTGAATGTTGGTTGGCATTCGTATGCTTGCCTATTCAGCACTAAAAATCCCAATCCTGCTCCAAGGGTCAAGTATGGTCTTTTGCCTGCAAAACTCACTTTCTTTTCAGTCAACGAAAAATCAAGTACCTATAACACAAAAAATATTTTTACGAGAACATCTTGGTTCTATGGCGTTGAACTTCAAAATCTTCGACCACGTACCCTCTACTACTATCAAATTGAAGCAAGGAACGATGGATTAGCGTCAGACATTTTCTCTTTTACATCACCACCAGCTCTCGGTGATCGAAGTCAACCAGTGAAGATTGCTGCCTATGGTGATATGGGTGTTGATGGTCTACTAGGAACTTTAATCAATGGTGTCTGTCTTTTTGAGCGAGCAGTAATAGCTTTGCAGAAAATGTTACCATCGATTGATTTTTTCTTGCATCATGGTGATATTTGTTATGCAGATGATACTCCTCTACTTGTACTTGGAAAAACCTACGACCAGGCTATGGATTATTGTCAAATGGCAATGATGAATATAACCAGTAAGCGTTACTATATGACAGCTGTTGGTAACCATGAGATAAACTGCACGCAGATTCCATTTCTTAGAGATGCATGTCCAAAGAATTATAGGAATCAATTTCCTTACAGTAATCGATTCAATATGCCTAGTAAGCAGTCCGGTGGATACTTGAACGCATGGTATTCATTTAATTATGGTTTTGTTCATGTGGTTTCACTCTCATGCGAATCAGATTTTCCAAATGCTCCTTCTGGTAATCTTCTTGACACTAAAACTCAAGTGAATTGGCTAAAAAATGATTTAGCTGCTGTGAATCGTTCCATCACTCCGTGGGTCATTGTTCAATGTCATCGACCATGGAAAGGATCCATAGCAATTGAAGGTCTATCGGATGGTAAATTCATCAACTGTCCCCAATGTAAGGCAGCTTTTGAGGCTATTTTGATCAAATACAAAGTGGATATCTACTTTGCTGGCCATATGCACTGGTATGAACGCATTTGTCCAAATGGTATGTATAATTACTTTTTTTCCGAAGCGTTTAGTCATTGCGAAGCAGGAATAAAAGAGACATTCATAAAAAAAAAGGTAGTAGCAGAGAATAGTAGTACAAACCAAAAGATTCCAAAAACTAATAATTTTGTTGCTTTACATATAGAAAACTACTCATAAGAATGGATGTAAGTTTGTTTAATGATTAGATGTAGTCGTAAACAATCTGATAATTAACTACAAAAAATTGTTTGTCTTCAATCTTTGTAGGTGGAAAGAAGACAGCTGACTATATCAATCCAAATGGTCCCATCTATATCACTAATGGTGCTATTGGCAATCCCGAAGGCAACGACCATGTTTTCAAGAGATCAAGCGACTCTTGTCGTATTATTACTGATCCCGGCTTTGGTGTTCTTACACTTGTGAATGCTCGTCAAGCCACATTTAGTTTTTATCGAACTTCGGATTTAGTGGAACTTGATCGAATCAATATCATCAAAGCTCGTTGAACGATTTATTTCTAATCTAAAAAATATTTCTTAAAAAGAACAATTTAATGTACTTTATATTTACTTTTGACAAAATTAATTCTGCACTCTAAAGCTTATATTGTTTAATCATGTTTTGAGCTCGTATATATTTTTTTTTTGTAGTTCAAATAGTTTTTAAATAACTCTTAAATAAAAATATTTTTGAAGTAAAACAAAGGCTCGTCTACTAATAATTTTGAAATGAAATTTGAAAACATGTGATCAGAAAGCTTTCAATAAAGCGCATCGTAGTCTTCATCGTGATGCTGATGTTGGGTGTGAGTGGTTATCTGTAGATATTCTGCACTTTCGTTTCCTTCATTGAATATTGAAATTTCTTTATCCATTGTGATCAATCATTAATTGATAATCGCTTCCCACCAACAAGTATATAAGAAAGTAATGTGTCGAGCTGCCCATGAGGACACGTTTGCCACCACCTTTTGACGATGAAACCAACAAATAACAATGACATCGAAATGACCATTCTCAAACTCAAAAAAGATCTATTATCTTTTCCGAATTAGAAATATTTCTTTAGTTAGTGTATTTTTTCTAGTTAAATAGTTTGACCATTCCAATGAGACCAGATGAAATTTGTCCGTTCAATGATGATCTGACATTTCTTAGCTGAATTACGACCGCCTTGCCCATTGATATCCAATTGTCTCGTTGAATTGCTCTTGATCACGCCATCGTTAACTCGTTGAAAGAATGATTATTGCCAATTGCCTGTCCACTAAAAATATCCTAGAAAATCTATGAAAGCGATCAATTGTCTGTGTCTAATCAACCACCATTTCAAGACGATTACTATCGCGTGAAGCCGATCGTAATCAACTTTATACTATATGAGATCATGCAGTGACGGGTACCAATGGCATTGTTTCGGTGTTTAAAACTATATGTTACTGTGTTGAATAGCAGAAGAATACTATATTAGGAGATAGAAATGATGTAACTGAATAGAAGTCACTATTTTATGCAGTCAAAATGGCTTCGAATGATTAGGTTTTTTGATGAATGGACAATCTAATAAGCTTCTTCGACAATTATTCTTATCAGGACTCTATTTCTCGAATTTGGATGAAGCATCTTACTATTCAAGCAAAGCATTAGCACTGGACATTA